GATAGAAGATATACATAATTCATCAAATCATCCCCTCTGAAAATGAATAAAACATACACATCCAAGTATACATCAAAAAGCTTCCTATTCTCTTGTAAAGCCAACAATTACTACCTCTGAAGAGGTCTGTGTAGCAGTGTTGGGTGGTGAAATTCATATTTTGTATAATGTTTTTTCAGCTAGAGATCAAAGAACACTCTTCCACCTCTTATTAAGATATAAAAGAATTCCATTAAGTGGACCCTTTTTTTTCTGTGGAGGTTTTATTTAGAGACCAATAGACAATACAATGTACTCTGCAACAATGCATTACAACTACATTTTGTATGACAAATGAACACTATTGATTTTCCTATAGTGCCTTTCATAAATATAATTTATATATAGAAGAAGTCAATTTAATGCTGAAGAGAATAGAAAAGTTTAAAGTTGTTATTTAAATTGGTGTTTTCACAGGAAATACACTCAGAAAGCATCTCAGGATTAACTGTATCCCTTCCCATCTACAGAGATTGATATGGAAGGCTTAAAAAGTATGAGAAAACTAAAGAGTCATAATAAAGTCAAGACAGCTGATCGATAAAGAGCCAGCAAGTGAATTCATGAAGACCCCAGAGATCTGAAAAAGGACCATGTTCATTCAGGTTCAGTGACGGAGTAGAAGTTCAGAGAAAGAGTGAAAGATTGAGAGTAATGCGGTCCAACTGTCTGAAACGCTGAGAGGATATTTAAACCTGTTCCATTGAAAAGAGATGGAAAAGATGATGATAGGAAACATAATTCTGGTAGGGAAGTGTATTTTCAGTCTATTCAAATAAACTGTCACAGAGATGAACAACAAAAACTACCAACCTTTGTGTACTCTTGCAACTATAATTATTCTAAATGAATGCTTTATAAGATTTTCTAAGAATGTATTCCAGAACTGAAAAGTACTTATTTCATAAAATGGATTCTTTAGTGCCTATATGAAACACAGCATTACCACTTTTGCAATGTTCAGGGATTTTTTTAGGGTGTGAACCTGTTTTTAGGTATAGCTTTATGCTGAGTCGCATAAAGATCTTCCTTTGCATTTCCAGAAATAACTTGTATGCTTCAAAGTCTAGGATTCATTTCTACTTAGGATTTTGCTTAAGTCAGTTTTGATAGTGAAGCACAGGTTAGCATTCATCCTGCCTAGCTTCAATCATGAAAATAAAATAAAAATAATTATCTAGTCTAATCTCACTTTTAGGACTCTCCTGTAATGAATAGAAACTCAGAGAGGGGCCCTTTTATTTCATTTTTTATAAGTCCCTTCCATCCCTGAGATCTCTTCCTTTCTGCTCATACAGAAGAATACTTTCTAATAGAGTTATTATTTCTGCTGTGTTTTATGTTGGTTGTAAGATAATGCTCTATATGTCAGTCCAACAACGTGGTCTGTGTGGCTTGGATTTTATGGAGAGCTGAAGGCTCTGAAATGATGTAGATTTGCAAAGGGTTTCAACAGCCAGCTGCTGGTGGGCTTTGGTGAAAATTACAGACCTTTTCAGTATTTTATATCACTAAACTGCTACATTTAGGAAATGAGAGTGAAATGCATCCTTGCTTCTGTACTTCCATTAACTTAAAGAAATACATATAATTTCCAGAGGATGGGACTTAGTGAAGAGCTTATCCTAGTAAGATAATTTTCCAGTTTTCAGAACTGCTCAGTTTTTGGCACATTCACCTGACACGCTCGCCTGAGGAAACCTCAGAAGAGACTTTCATCTGACCTGTTATGTATGGCAATGGCTATGTCTCCTATAATTATGCTATCATAACCACCAAGGTTTTAATGTACATTACATAATCTTCCTTTGATAATTTTCTCTGCTTAGGAGGGGATCCCATCAATATTTCTAATCTGTTCATGAATAATTCTACTTTTCTCCCTTCCTATTAACATACAATGTTTCAAAGATTTGCAAGTGTACTTAGTTGGTTAAACTCTAATGCTCTAACTCTGATGAAAGCTTTTTAGGAGGCATTTTGTATTTTTTTTTTTTTTTTTACTTCCATGCCCTTATAATCTTACAAATAGTTACATGCATTGAGTAATTGTCTAGAATAGTTTGAATTATGCACTAGAAAGCAAGACGGTCTTGGTTCTTTAAAATTTTAATTTAGATTGCTTTCTGATTGTAAACAACCCGTAGAAGGCTGAGTACAGTAATATATACATCTTATTATTTTTTCATATAGCTTAATAAAAGTAAAGTTAAGTATTACTAAGAGATACGCAGATAATAGCTATAGGTTACTAAGAAGCAACTTGAAGTTAATGATTGATGGAATTAATTCACTGATGCACAGTAGAGGAATTCAGATGTAACATGGTTGCAAACTCCATCCCGACTGTCTCCAAAACCTGCAAATTTTAACACAGAACAATGCACACATTTCACTTCAGAGAGTTACTGACTACTGGGGTTTACAGCAAAACTTTTTCAGTAAAAGTTGGCACTTGAAAATAGGTACAACTTCAGTAATAAGAGTATAATCATGCTTGTCAATATTTCACAACCGTTCAGTACTCATATACTGAAATTAAAAGAAAGCAATGATAAAGAAAACACATCCCAATTTCCACATTCATTCCATCTTAGCTCCCTACTGAGAGCAGATATGCCAGTACTGTCACTGTTTTCTACATGATGATAGGTATTAGTAGCTCATAATGAGCTAAATGCCATTGCCAAAGAGTTGTCATCTAAAATTTTTTTTTCCCCAATCATTTCACTTATTCTAAGTGAATTATGTAGTTTGGCCAGATTCAGAGCTTATTTGAGCAGCAGAAGCATTTTATCTGCCCAGTCTGTCTCCTGTATCGTGACCAGACTTAATGTGCATGCTCACTACAGTCAGTCTTCAAATGTCCAGTGCTTTCTAGAAAGTGTCAGGTGTATTGTGCAGTCAGAGAGTCTATTGCACAAGATGCCATATGCAGAAAGGATGTCTCTGTCATCTCCCATACTGCCCCAGGGAAAGCAAACAACCTGAAAATGGGCTGAAACTACCATGTCAGATGCTGTTGTCAGAGCAAGTTATTATGGCTCATGCCAGGCAATTCTACAGTAGTCATAGAAGACTTCTAGACATGATTGCTTGTTCTGGCAGCAGCAACTTTTTCAGCTGTCATAATTCTTTAACGTTCAGAGGCAAGTTTCTGTTCTGTGCCTGGGTATACATGGACAAATATTAACATGAATTGGAGATACCAGTCTCAAATGGGAGCTGCAGGGAAAAACGCTTCCAAGAATAGACTCTGGGAAAGGGTACTTACAGGCTGAGAGCCTCTCCCTAAGGGACTTTTAGGAAAGAAGATGGGGACGGCCTCTGTCACATACATTATCTCAGTGGGAATTGGTATTGTAGAGCTTTTAAAATAACGGTGAACCTCAAACAGAATGTCAGAACTGTACTCCTCAAAAGAAGTGCTTTTCGACATTATTAGATGGTTTGCCAACCTGGAAAATGTAAAAGGTCAGTTGCCTTCTCTGATAACTTTCTGGTATTACTTTCGTCTCTTCAAATAGAAAGGAGTATTAGCTTTAAACATTTTAACCATCAGACTTCCAGATCCGACTACAATCTCAAATGACAATAATTATTGCTGATTATTTTTCTCCTCAGAATTGGTGAAAGGATAAGTGTAAGTGTTGGTTTGTGGTCTTTTTTTTTTTTTTTTTTTTTTTTTTTTATAGAGGATGTTCTCATTTAATTATGAAACTTTTTCTGGGAAAATATAATGTAATTCATAAAACTTTACTATATTAAAAAGAATAATTTATAAAATCACCTATTTTTTCATCTGAATTGGCATGCAAGAAGTTTTATTTTTATTTCCAATATTGACAGATTTTTGATAAAAACTGAAGTTGCATGGCCACTTTTCCATTTATGAATCTGTAATGTGAAGGCGAGGGGAATACTTGGGTGGCAATGGATTTTACCCTTTATTTATCATATAACCCCTGTTTTGTAAGCAAACAATATTCTCCATAATCCCATTTACTTAATTGTTTTTGATCTGATTTTCCCATCATGATGTAATCATTAAGAGGAAGGAATTAACAAAAATATTTTGTTTTCCTTTCACTTAACAGGAAAGCCTAGGCTCAGTTATAGCATTTTTTACTATGCTATATTCCGCAAGTTCTCAACTTCTTGCTTTTTCTGTGTTTGAAATTACTGTATTGAAGAATGCAGAAATCCAGATACTAATCATGCAAGTAGTGATTAACTGTAATTTGGCTAGTATTTAAAATCTAGGCCCTATGGCACTCACATATATACTTCCAATGTATAAGTAGATATTCATAACATCCAGCTTAAATATAAGGTATTTCCATTTTCAAGACATTCCATTTATAACAGTTGAGTATCTGTGCCTTTTATTTTCAGCTGTCATTGAGAATAAACAATACTTACAGTAGGGCAATTTCAATAGTATCACAGTCCCACTGAATCAATAGGATTATGACTCAATGCTGTACTTTCTTGGAAGAAAGGAGCCATGGGTTATAGACCTAATAATAAATATGAAGATTAGGAACTTATTCAATCATATGCTTATTTATTATTCAGTGAGAAAAGACGAGGCTTAAAATGTTAGTTGAAAACAAATGCTGTTTTTTTTTTTTTTTTTTTCTTTCCTGTGTAAAAAATACATCTATTTCTTCATATTATCAGTATACAATTGTTCAGTCACAGTGGTGATATCTGTATGATGTGTGCTGTGCTGGTAATTATCATATATTAAGAGTTTGAAGATCATATAATGACATGTAGAGGCACATGAACTTTCTGATTGTGCTTTTGTTGGCGACACAGACAGTGGGATTGAGTGCACCCTCAGCAAGTTTGCCAATGACACCAAGCTGTGTGGTACGGTGACAGTCTGGAGGGAAGGGATGCCATCCCGAGGGACCTGGACAGGCTGGAGAGGTGGGCCCACACAAACCTCACAATGTCAACAAGGCCAAGTGCAAGGTCCTGCACATGGCACAAGGTAATCCCAAGCAGAAATCCAGGTGGGGCAAGGAGTGGGTTGAGAGCAGCCCTGGGGAGAAGGACTTGGGGGCATCAGTGGATGGAAAACTGACCAAGAGTCAGAAATGTGCTCTTGCAGCCCAGAAAGCCAACCATGTCCTGGGCTGCCTCAAGAGAAGTGTGGGCAGCTGGTCGAGGGAGGGGATTCTGCCCCTCTGCTCCGCTCTGGTGAGATCCCACCCACAGTGCTGTGTCCAGCTCTGGGTCCCCCAACAGCAGAAGGACACGGACCTGCCCGAGCGGGGCCAGAGGAGGCCATGAAGATGCTGGGGGGGCTGGAGCAGCTCCCCTGGGAGGCCAGGCTGAGAGAGTTGGGGGGGTTCAGCCTGGAGAGGAGAAGGCTCCGGGGAGACCTTATAGCTACAGTACTTAAAGTGCATTTTATGTAGAACATAGCTTTCAAGCACTTCTTCTATTCTTCCAAAAAATGTATAACATTTTCTTCTTTTAAATGCAGCCTATATAGTAAGGTTAGGAATCAAATTAGTCTATAACTATAGCCTGTTTAACATATTTTTCTTCTGATAGACTGACTTTTGGATCACTATCTCGTTTTCCTTCCAGATACTTATTTAAATGAAGACTAAAACTGCATGATGTAAATAACATAATTTGACATCTGCTTCTTCAAGAAGGTATGGAAGAAAGAAAACCATGTGAATAGTATAAGAGCATTTTCAGTTTATTCATTATTGAAGATGTATTTAAGAATTTTGCACCAGTATCCTACTTGTGAAGATGAAAGACTAATCATTTTTTAAGAGATAAGTTAAAAAATTGTCCAATTTTCTGGATAGAAATTCATGCCATTTTAAATTAGGGGCTGGTTGAGCTGTCTATGCAGTTTTAATGAGAATCCACCAGATGGCATAGGAAAAAGGAACCTCATTAATAGAATTTTGTGAATGGTGGTATTTTTGGCTTGCTGGCTTATTTAGTCAAAAAGTCTTGTTGAGGCAAGAATTTTCTTCTTTGTGATATTAAAATGCTTAAATATCAGTTAAGCATTTTGTCCATTCTTGAGCATTCCTGAGAGAAAAATAGGGAGGAGGGGAGAGAGGAAGATGAGAAAAGAAAATATAAAATAAGTAGTGTCCCAAAATCTATTTATCTTCATCCTTTTTCAAAATATCTTTTTTTTTTTTTTTTCCTTGCAATAATAATTTAAAGGAATTTCTTGTCACCAATATAGTCCCGACCAAACACAGCATTTAAGCATGTTCCTAGCTTTAAGTACAGTGTCTCCAGTGTGAAGCTTATGGTTAAGAGCGCTGTTGAACTGTGGACCCAAGTGATCAATTCTTTAGACTAGGAAGCCAGTAAATATTCTTTTAGGTTTAAGTCATAGATGATGGTCATAAAAGGGCTATGGCAGGCTCTGCTCACTTACTAATACTTGAGATTATTGTTTTACCTTCAAGACAGATGTAGACTATTAATATTGAACTGACATCCTTCCAATTTAACTATGTAAAAGTCTTAACAAAATTCTCTCTAGAAACACCCCTATTGATCTTCCACCACTGTATTCAGTAAGTTCAGGAAGAAGTGCAAGTGAATAAAATTCCTACTCTTCACTTTCAATAACTCTTTTAACAAGTTGTTTTGCTTGGTTTTTTTTTTTTGTTTGTTTTGTTTTGTTTTGTTTTGTTTTTTTTTTTTTTTTGTTTTTTGGTTTTTTTTTTTTTTTTGGTTTTTTTTTTTTTTTGGCTGGAGCTAAGAAAGGTTATGAAATTGAATTGTAGTGAGATAAATAAGTACAGTAGCCTGAGGAAGATATTAATTTTTAACATATTAATTTATCCCTATAGAAGTCAAATTTAATTGTTTCCAAGTTCACTCTACATCATTTTTATTGAAGCTAAAATAGGGTCAAGATTTAAAAACATCACTTGAGGTTCATCTGTAATTATCCCAGAATACTATACCTATGACCACATCTTGGAGTCATTACTCAAAGCTTCACCTTCCTAATGCTAAAGTCAAGCAAAACCTCCTGTTGAGTTTATATGAAATATTATCAAATGCTTAGACAAAATTAGTTTGAATTCAACAGGACAGTATTGGCCATTCAGGTCACATTTACATGTGTAAGCAGAGAAGCACAATAACAGAACATCTGCAAATCAGAACAGTTGGAGTAGTTCAAGGCTGGTTCTGCGTACACTGGGGCTGTTGTCAGCTAGGCTGCATTAATAAGCTTCTATGGTACATCCTCCACTTCAGTTTAATTTTCAGTGAGATTTGAGACACCCTTAAAGCTAACAAACAGTAAGTGGGAACAAACAGATTTGTTTCAGAGGTTCACTCTAGACTAGAACTAAATACTAGCATGAAGAGAATCTCTGTCATTTCAGAGAACATGTTTTGAGTAATAAAGACCAACAGATTTTTCTCCTTATTTGCCTTTGAGTGATTTTCAAACTTTCCAAAAGAAAATTAGAAACACCCACAGGTGTGTTCTCTTTCACTTCTGACTTCTTGTGAATATTTTTATGATTTTAAATTTGATGAAATAATAACAATTTCATACAGTTGCATCTCACAGATATTTGCTTAAATTTTAAATAAGAAAGGTCAACAATTAACAGGCTTTCTCATATTCTCTTGTTCTGTTTATCTCAGAAGGACATGTAAATTACAGTTAAGGAACTTAAATGGAAATCTCAATGCAATTACCAGTTTATTCATCTTTGGTTGAATATAAACAGTCGTAGTAATCTTTTCTGAAGAAATATAGTCCCAAGTTTTGACCACCATCAAGGTGGAAAATTTGTTTTCCCTGTGCTTAATCAGAATTTCCTGTGTTTCAATCTATGCCCATTTCCTTTCATCCTCTCATGGTCTACATTTGAGAAGAATCCATCTTCTTTAAATCCTCCTATTACACAGATGCAGACAACTGAGATTTTCCCCACCCTAAATCATCCCTTTCTCAGGCTGAGGGAGCCCAGCACTCTCACCTCTCCTCATTCACCATGTGCTCCAGACTCTCCACCTTGTTGGTGACTCTCTGCTGGACTCCAGTATGCCAATGTCTTTCTCATACTGGGGAGCACAAAACTGGATAAACAGCTCCAGACTTTGCTTGAGGAGTTATAAGGAGTATAGAAAAAGTCTGAGGTGAGTCATGCTCAACTTTCAGTCTGATGGCATCTCTGCACTAGGTATCCCAGGTGATTTGGAGCAGTCAACGAAAATGTGTTTGTGACCTTAAGCAGACAGCAGCAACTAGAGATTTCTTCCTCAAGTTCTGATGAACTCTCTTCTTCTCCTGCTCCAGGAATTTCCACCAGCCTTTATTAAACTATTAAGGAGCAGACCTTGCAGTGATATTATCAAGCCTTTTACTTTGATAAAGAAGATGGAGCTTGGCTGAACGTGGAAGTTACAGGATGAACAAAAACCTAAAAAAAATTACAACTTTAAGAAGTCATCCAACGCTATGTTATGTGGATGATTTCTGAGTCTGAAATAAGTCCATGGGTTCAAAGAGGGCACTCGTGGATTTTTCACTTCAAATTCTGTGTAGCCGTGAGGACTTTCAGTTGACATAAGTTATTATTTACTGATTGTATTTGGTAAGTATCAACAAACCCACCAGCAAGAGTGGATGAGTCATATGGCATATGTGTGTGTGTATATATATATATGTGTGTATATATATATATATATAGAGAGAGAGAGAGTACAATCTCTGTACCCAATTGCTTAAAATCTAAATTACCAGAGAAGATGGGAGGTGGAAGAGGTGAGAGGGGTGCATTACAGGATCAATGCCAAACTCTGGGAATAAACCTGATTTTGTGGTGTTTGTCCAAAAACCAATATGTGTACATGATACTGGCTTCAATTAAAGCATGTTCTACCTGCATGTTGGAGAGTCTTCCTCCTACTCTTACCTTAACACTGTCAGGGGTGGAGTGGCAGCATGAAATCAAAAAGCCTACTCAGTTCTGTTAAGCACATAACAGCATAACAGCTGTTGCTGTGTTGTGAACTCTTTTAGATAAAAAGCCAAACTTAGTCTGACTTTCAGTCCTTAAAGCAGGAGAACACGTAGCAAGATAAACTAACAGGAAAATAGGCCCACAGCAATAACAGATAATCCTGTCATCTGCATGTTTATGTTACAGCACATACCAAGTAAAATTGTCAGGTGTTCCACCAGATAAATGTATAAACACATTCCCTCTTTGAACAACAGGAGTTCTGCAAACGTACCTGATAGAATAATATCACTCTCTTCATCGACAACACCTGAGGAAAGTGTTAGCCCATACAGACAGATAAAAATGTGTGTTGAGATAGAAAAGATAATATGCTACAGTCTAAAGGATATATCTCTCAGATCAAGACAGACTTCTAACTGTCTCTGTTCTGTTGATATTTTTTTTAGATTTTCAACTTTTTCTTCCACTTCTGGATGAGATAAAAATATAAAACACTGAAAATTTGCTGGAATGAGAAAATAACTCTTGCATATGGCTATCCATGCAGTAAATCTCAAACTTAGACTAGCTGCTGAATGTCTCAAAATCAACTTTCTTCTTTGACCCGTCTGAAGATAGATAAAAGAACTGAAACATGGGTTGGTATTCTGGGAATTCATTACAGTTCAGCAGTGCTTAAGGTAGCAGGTTTGGCTTTAACCAAACATAATACTAGAGAAATCTTCTGCTAATACAAGCAGAACTCTGTTACTGATCACAGAGAGAAAGCTTGTGGCATTCAGAATGGTTGATCCTAAAAAGCTGTTAACAATATCAAATAAAAAAACCCCTGTGTCTACAGTTTGATTCTTACTTCTCAGTTCTTATTAATGACAGCTAAATTATTCATGTCATAGGATCATTTTTTGATGTTTTCTTCAGACACCTTTTCCAAAAATTCATCAGGAAGTTGAATGTTTTTCACCCGTAGAATGCTTCAGTAAATTAAGAATTGTCCTGTTCTTTTACTTACAACTTTTTAATGGCATTAATCCCATAATTCAACATCATTTATCTGTAAAGAGAAATGCAGCATGTTGGAAGTTGACATGAAAAATAAATTGTTATTTTCTGTTTCTAGTATAGAAGAAGCAGTGGAAGAACAATGTACTGCGGCACCAAGAACAGTCTTAGGTTGAGTTGTCTGTTTCCCAACAGTTCTTAAAACATGAAGTGGATTTCTTTCACGATGCATGACTAATAGTCAGCTCCTATGAAGTAACTTTATATTCTGGGACAAATCTACATTTATTTGTCTCACTCCAACTGAAAAATACACCAAGTATGTCCTTTTTTACCTATTTCTACCTACAACCATTACAGAAAATTGAGCTTTTCCTACTGAGATTATTTTTGTTTTTGAAACAACGGAGTGACTTGTGCTTGGATTTGGCTCATAATTATGATTAAAAACATGCTAAAATTTTATTCAAAATCATTACATAAATAATTAGGATATTTTTTTCTTCCAGTTTTGATAAAGAAAACTGAATCTGATACTGATTATTGGAAAAAAAAAAAAAAAATGTTTCCAGTCTTAAGATTTCATTTAACAAAGATAATGGGCCAAATTCTGCTTTCCTTTTACCTTGCCATTTTTCTGTAACTTTGGTAGAATCAGAATACTGCCCATTTTAATTTTAAAACTTGATTTAAAAATGAAGTTATAAGAAAACTAGGCAAATTGTTTCAAAAGTTAATATCACTCATTAAGAAAAGGTTGCACTTATTTCTTTTTGTTTTATCTAGTTTAGTATTCACATCAAATGTCGGAGCATAGTACAACTTTTTTTTTTTTTTTAATTTAAAGAAATATTTTCAGAAGTCTCTGCTCCAGGTAGTTAACTGTGAACATCTGTGAACAACTGTGATTGCCTCTTTTCTTATAGAAACGTGTTTCTTCAGTCATTCACTTCAAGAGATAATGCCCTGAGGTATAGTAATTCCTGTAGTTCTTTTCAACTCTTTCCAGTGTATCCAGTTCTTATGAGAGAGTTCATATCTGAGGCTACTTTGTCAAAGAATGATTTTTTAATTTTCTTTTTTCCTACAGTAATTCTTCGGTTCAGAAACTGATGGCAGCTTCAAGGTACCTCACTATCAGAAGTCTATATGTCTAAGTATATTAAGCCTATTGTTTATACTAAAAAAATGGTGAACCCCTGTGTGGATATAATCACAGTAGTTTTGCACGAGTTTCAGTATACTAAAAACAATTCCGGTAGAGTTAAGAAAATAAATGGCTTTTTCCTTATGTGACATTGATTTTCATTCTGTGAGCTTTTTGGAATTTTTTGAGAATGCTGTTTCAGGGGAATATTTCAATTGTTATATTATCTGATTTCTTTTGTCTTCAGACACTTGCTGAGTACCAGGGAACTTGAAAACCTCATTTATAATTTTCTAATTCTGTGTTTCTTTTTCTTTCAGTCTTTTATGACCTGTAGTTATTAACATGTGCTTACTAAAGTGTCCTCAGGATTTCTCTTTCCATATAAAGTAAGCAAAACTTCAGTTTGAAGAGTAACTTAACTGTCTTGTAAATGAATGATGTTTTTTTCCCTAAATAGTACCTGAATGTTAGCTTTTTTCTAGTCTAAATGCTTTTCACAGCATTAGTATTTTCAACTTCCTACTGCAGCTGTTAACAGCCTTTCATTTCTGAGATTTTCCGGAGTGATATTGCAGTTGTATTTGGAAACTATTTGGATTTGTATAAAAAAAATGTTCTGAATATTTAGTTACAAATATCTGAAAACTTTGATAGAAACAGAATTGACAGGGGCATAGGAAACTTTGAACATGAAAAATTTGGACATACAGAAAACATTACAAGCACTTTCAAGATTTCTCTAAGATCTGTTACTGCTTTGTAACTTCAAAAAGAAAGCAGGGGTATCAGTGGATCTGGAGACCTGAGCACATTTCAGAGAGCCTTAGTACCAGTGCATGGTGTATTTTCATTGCTAACATTCATATACATCATAGTTTGCATATAGATATTCTACAATGTGTCATGCATAGCCGGTTACTTTAAGAAATGACATATCAGGAGCATATTTTGTTTACATGCTGTAAGTTGGTTAAAATACTACTTTTCCCGAAGTCTATAGTAAAGCTCCCACTGACTTCACAAGACCACTTTTCTTATTTCTTTGGAGTGCAAAGCTTAGTGCAAAGTCAGTAGCATTAGGACACAGCAGCAGAGGATTGTGCTTTTGTAATGTTCTTTTTACAGTAGAGATCTTACCTGCGTCCCTACAGTGTTTTGATGGTTGGGTTTTTCCTTCACTCTGGTCAATGATAAGACTCCGTTAATGTAAAAACTAGTAAGAATTATTATTTGCATTTAGTAAAACTGTTTTATTCATAAATAAAGAGCTCTGTAGCCACCCATATCACCATAGTTGTTAGTAACTGTTGTGAAAAAAACCCTATTTTCTTAATCTGTGCTGTGTCATTTAATCAGATGATCCTGGGTAATTTTCTAATGAGTCAGTGACTTAATATTTATAGTAACATCCAGTTTCAGGGAGGACAAATAATTCTTGTGATAAATACAGAAGATTTTTGACAGACCTAGTCTAAGAATTCAGTTTTCCTAGAATGCAAAACCGCAAGGCACTAATCAGTCTACTCATCACTCTGAGTGTGTAGAAAATTTCTTAATTGCTGTAAATTAATATCTCTGACAATTTGCCTCTGACTTGCAGAAGTGATACATTAGGCTTAAAGGTAAAAATACTGAGTTTTTAAAGAGGTATTTTATTGATAAGGTTAAGTAAAATAAAATATAAATGTTAAAAGTATCTTCTGTATAACCAGATCTGATATCTAATGAGAGCAAGCGCTTTTCTGTGATAAAGCCATTAGCCATAGGAGCTCATAAAAAGAATCCAAATATCTACTAATAGGGAAAAACATGCATTCCGTACACTACAGCACACCTGGCCTCTTTCTCTGATAAATACTCTCATTAATGAAATCTGTAGATATCATGTCTCCAGCATCAGTCCAGTTTTTGGCATAGTCCTCACAGACAGAGATGGTCTATTTTTGTAATTCATTAATTTTGTGTCATTTGGGTGGTGCAAAGTAAGCAGATAGAACAATCCATCCTTTGCTTAACACAAAAATGGACAGCAACTGTTAAAGAACTTATTTCCTTTTTTATAATTTTGTCACCTGATTTTGCTCTGCCATCTAAAAAGCTGATCACCCATAATAAGACACTGTTGATTCTTTGTTTAGTTCATTCTTAATGAAGTAATAGAACTATAACTCCTACAGAAATCAATAGAGTTTGTATCACTGGACCTCAGTAAGAGTTGGATTGTGTGTCTAGCTGTTTTAGTAATAAGAATCACTACTTGCTTATGAAAGCCACTGCATGTTCTTAAAATAAAAAAATGCTGCAGTTCAAGGTAATTGAGTGTAAGCAAATCTTTTATTGAGTGAGAAATTCAAAAGCTTCAGCTGTATACAAAATCTCTCCTCTGTTGTGCTGCAGAGCATATGAATTTTGATATCAGTTTCGCTGTGAAATTACTGCACAGCCTGTGATTGAGAGTAATTATAAACTCTCAATTTCTTTTCTTATTTTAGCATGTTATTTATTTCAAGAAAAGAAGGACAGGAAAATAAAAGGAGGATGAATATAAAATGTTATTGTGAGAAGAATGTATGAAGTGCAGTGTCACGAGGAGCAGGCATACCAAAGATATTACTCTAAATTTCAATGTCAAGGTCAATTTCCAGTTTTCAAGGTCAGTAAGATAAGATCATACATCGTCACATCCCCGCTTATATTAATATGGTTATTCTTTTGCTTAGTTACGTATCCCAGAATTTTCACAATAATTAATAATTTTGGTTTTGGCATAGGTTTTTTTTAAATACATACAATTTCTGCTAATTGATTATTTTTGAATGACTGTCAAATCCCTACCCACAGAAATCTGCTGTTATGTTACTGAACTGTTATTGATGCTTATTCTCATCTCATTGTCCATCAAACAAAAAAAAAATCCCAAATGGATAAACACATGGTCCATCTAGTCCAGTAGTAAGTCTCCAGCAGTGGAAATAGCAGACACTCTCTAGACAGAGGATATTTAGTGTGCAAGCTAGGTCATTTTATGTGGCCCATTCCCCTCCTGCTTTTAAAGCATTCACAATTTTTACATTAGGGATGTTCCCTTGAACATCCAGATTTTTTAACATCTGTTTTGGAACAAGTTGCCCAAAAATTTGTTTAGTCGCTTTTTCAATTCCCTGACACTGCCTGTCTTGACATCATTCTGTGATAGCAAGATCTGGACATTCACTACATACTGGTAAAATACTCATGCTTTTATCTATCTTAAACCAAAATATGTAACTGAGCACATGCCAGCACGATGTGCTGTATGTTTTTCAAGAAAGAAGTTGATACTTCTGTTGAGAACCAGAGGTTTTTAATCCCTTCAAGGTTCTGGTCCACTGCATCATGCCAGGGGTCACTACTTTCTTATCTTAAGTAAAAAGGTAACAGGCTCAAGACCAATATGAGCTGAGAGGAAAGACTCTTCGTATCTCCGTAATATGTGGGAAGTGTGCATAATTCATCCTGTTATTCCCACACCTTCAGCAATGAGTATATGGCTAGAAGGGCCCTTTTCAGGCAAGACTGTCTCTGAATTCCCATAGATGGCAGAGTTTCACATTGTCTATGCTGCAAATCCTGCAGACTTGGCATGAATTTATAGTAATATGCTAAGTGGTCCTGAGAAGCTTCTTTTGCTCCATTAACTTTCCCCCCA